GTTTTCTAATACTTTCAAGCCTTCTCCAAGCATTTTAGTGACTAAATCCTTGCAAGAAGATAAGCTGTTTTAGGAGTGGAAAATACGGGAGCTATATATCTTGGACATAGAGTTTGGCTATATAATAGAGAAACATTTATAAATAGGAACTTTACTAATGACTATTACAGAAGACTCACATTCCTGGGCAGGGGTTTCCTCTGGGGGATTCTGGCTGCCCGTGTGCAGTGGTCCTCACTCTCAGGCTCTGACTATCTGTGATGCTGTAGGTTAGAGGACAAGTGGAATTGCTTCACGGCCAACAGAGAGCCTCAGCCTGGTGACTCCTGAACTGGGCTTGGCTGCCTGTCCAGGGTTACTGGCCTTGTTGCAAAGCTTCTGTCAGTTACTGGCACAGGGTTGGATGACTTCCATCAAGCAGGGCAGGCAAATTTCAAAGCTCTCGACTGAGCCTTCCAGGGAGAAATGCAAAAGTAGAGCGAGTGATGTTAGAGATTCTTGTAGAGGCAATAGGGGTGTGTGTGAGTGTGTGTGTATGTGTGTGTGTGTAACTCACCAGAAATGCTCAGGTTACCCTTGGCTCCCAAGCAAAGGCCACCCTACTCTAAAAGAGTACATATCCCAGAGGCCAGCAAGTTGGGTTATCACGACTCTGATAATCCTGGGACTGACTGTACTTTCCCAGAGTTTCATATTATTCATTTCCAGAAAGTAATTTTCACTGATTGCCTTGTGGTCTTTCTGAATGAGTCGTTTTAAGAAATAGGAGAAAATTGAAAGGATTGGCTCACCATCAAAACATCTCCCTTCTGAATGCTGCTAAGGTCAATGCAGCAGCCAATTTGGGATGGAAACTTGTTGGAACTTCTCTCTCTGGAGGTTTGTGATGCAAGGCTAGACAACTGCCTTTCTTGGTCCATTTAGTTGGATGCCTGCCTAGGATAAGGATATCAGATGATCTTGTAGTCCCTTCCAGTGCTGACTTTTTAGGATTGGGTAGTGGCTCAGGAGGCTATAATAGGCTGAGGATTTTACCTGTCCTGCTTGTCTGCTTTAATATTTGGACCAGTTTCTCTTAATTTTGTCTCTCTAAGCGGATTTTAAGTTCTTTGAAGTCTGGGATTCTGCCTTGTGCTTCTCTCATGTTCTCCCTGGAAGAGAGGGTGGGCATGCCGTCTGGAGCAGCATTCTAGAGCATGTGGTATCCAGGGTGATGGGAGTAAGGCCCCAGGTGAAAGGCTCACTGTTCATGGGAGAAAAGACATCATATTTTCTGAGTTTGGAGGGGAGGAATCGAAATAGCTGTGGCTGTATGTTATGGACTGAATGTATGTATTTTCCCACCCCAAATTTATATGCTGAGGCCCCAAACCCCAGTGTGGCAGTATTTGGAGTAAGGAAGTAATTAAGGTTAAATGAGGTCATAAGGGTGGGGCCCTAATCCAATAGAATTAGTGCCCTTATAAGAGAGACTTTGCTCTTTCTCTCTGCACATGTGTCAAGGAAAGGCCATGCAAGGACATAGCAAGAAGGTAGCTATCTGCAATCCAGGAAACAAGCCCTCACCAGAAACGGAATCCTGCCAGAACCTTGATCTTGGACTTTCCAGCCTTTGGAACTATGAGAAAATAATTTTCTGTTGTTTAAGCCACACAGTCTGTGGTGTTTTGTTATGGCAGCCCAAGCTGACTAAGACTGCATCCATAAGGTAACAGACCATGAGAAAAGACGAGGGAGAGCACACTTTGTCACCTCAGTTCTGCTGATGAAAGGTAAGGCCAGGTCACCTGCTGAAAGAGAGGAAGCTAAGGGCTGGGTAGGAAACGGAGGACAAACATGTGGAAAAATTGCTGTGGGGAATGCAAGAGGGTGCTGACCAAGGACAAGCCAAGGGTTTGCTGGGCAGTGCCAGAGGCCCAGACGAACTTGGAAGCCGTGGGTAAGTGGTGGAGCCAATCTTATGAGCGGCCGGCTCTTCTTTGGCAGTGGGTAGCTGGCGGGGAGAGGTATGGAGAAAGGGATTGGAGCATTGACTCAGGGTTGGAATTTCCCTGAGAAAGACGGTAGAAAGACAGGGGTGCAAGGTGGTCAAGGTTAGCAGACAGAGGAGAGTTCAAATAACCCATTTGACGATGTAGGATTGGCAGTGAAGGAAAAGGGCTACTGGCTGAGGAAACGGAGGAGGTAAGAAACTGAAGACTGTGAGGCCGGGGAGCGACGTATTATAGTAGGAATAGGAAAGTGAGAGAACTCAGAAGATGGGAGAATATGGCCAAAGAATAGAACATCAGGGTCAGGTTTTGGGGTGATGACAAAATCCAGATTGTGGCCATGAGGATGGTTGGTCCAAGTGCAGTGGAGTGACTGCATAGAGTTAGGGACACCTGTGAACTGCAAGGTCTCATTGTTGGAAGGGTCATCACACGAGTGACTTATCTTTGTGGAAAGGGCTGTGTCTTAGGCTTTGGTTAGGGTTAAGAGTGGAAAGAAGGTTGTGAGTGTGGTCTCTGAGGACTGTGATGGGGAGCACACAGTGCTTGGGGGCCGACAGGTGGGCCTCTCAAACCAGGCCTGGGGAGCAGGGCGAGACTTCTAGGGGAGCGACAGCTAACATGAGCCCCGAAGACGAGGGGGGTTAGCCAGAGGAGGGAGAGGCAGAGCAGGGAAGAGAGTGAGGAGAGAGGAGAGTGGTTCCAGGTATACAATGTTAAACAGGTCAATGTTTTATAAAGTTCATTAAGTGAAAGTTAACTGGCGATGTAGTCTATTGCTACATAATATATGCTTGGTAATCCTGTCCACTTACAGTAGCCCCTATTTTGTTGTTTTTAATTGTTAAAACTTTTTGTGAGCACAGTCTTCTGGGGGCTGCAATTCACATGCTCACATTCAACATAAATTGTGAAACCATTTGGGGTGTGGGAGGAGAGGACGTGTTCCCAGGACCTGCCTCCCTCGCCTGCCTGGCCTTCTCTCTCCAGATTCATTTTCAATTATAGGACAAGTGCATTTTTATTCTGCATGGCTGAATGGAGCAGCAGCAGAGAAGAAATGGGCTGACAAAGCAGAGGAGACCAAGCAATGGAAGCTGGGTGATGTACCCGAGAGCACTTTGACTTGCGCCTTGGTGAGGTGTGAATGAGGAGCGTATTAACATGTGCAAATATTCACATGCTGAATGTGGATTAAGAAAGAAAAGCGCTCACAGAAGAGAGCCAAAATGTCTGCAAAGAAAAAAGAATGTCATAAAAGAGGCCAACTCTATTTCAACCAAGTGTCCTGGGTCATAGATTATTTCCAAGGAGAGTTAGCTAGCTGCCACGCTGGACTCAGCCGTGCTCCTTCCTGCCTGGCTCTCCCTGTGCGGGAGGTGGCGGGGCGTGAAGAGCTCAGGCTTTGGACCGGGACGGGCCTGAGCCGTGTTCTGCCTCTGGGCTGCTGTTGGGAGCAGTGCGACCTGGAGCATGAGTTCAAGCTTCCCGAGCCTCGATTTCAGCATCGGTAGAAATAAAAACAAAATTTAAGGTGACAGTGGATGTGAACATTGGAAATTATGTATGTAAAGTGCTAAGAACAATATCTAATACATGGGAGGCATCCAATAAACAGCAGCTATTAGCTGCCACCACTACTACTGCTACTATTTTTTTTTTTTTTTTGAGACAGAGTCTCACTTTGTTGCCCAGGCTAGAGTGAGTGCCGTGGCGTCAGCCTAGCTCACAGCAACCTCAAACTCCTGGGCTCAAGTGATCCTCCTGACTCAGCCTCTCGAGTAGCTGGAGGCATGCGCCACCATGCCAGGCTAATTTTTTCTATATATATATTTTTTTGCCAATTAATTTCTTTTTATTTATAGTAGAGATGGGGTCTCACTCTTGCTCAGGCCGGTTTTGAACTCCTGACCTTGAGCAATCTGCCCGCCTCGGCCTCCCAGAGTGCTAGGATTACAGATGTGAGCCACCGTGCCCGGCCTACTACTCCTACTATTAATATTAATAGCACTGTGTCCAATAAATGAATATGCACAATGACTGCAAAGGATATTTAATATGTATATGTTGCACTCAATAAATTCTTGCTTTGAAAAATAATTCAAAATGCAAATGGTGCCTCTGCAGTGTTGTGGACAAGGCTGGTCTTCCCCTGGGATGAGGTGTGAGAGACATTTGTCAGTGAGCTTTTATGTGCGTGTTTGTGTGGACAGGGTCTTGGGGAGATGGGAAGGTGATTGAGAGGCCGGGAGTGGCTTCTTTCCTCTAAAAACACAGGCTGGAGGTCTAGCACCATAGGGCTTTGCTCGAACTGACAGGGAGATGGTCCGGCCTCAGCAGCAGTGCACAGGGCCGCAGACCCATCTCAGAGGGAAGACAGTGGCTCTTTCGGCAGCATCCCAGCTCTTTCTTTGAGGAAGGGCTCGGGGAAGGAGTGACATCTGGGTGGTCGGCACAAGGGCTGTGACAGCTGGCAAGGGGATAAAGTGCTGGCCCTCCCTGTGAGGGCACGAGCGTGACAGTCTTGAGCAGGGTCCGCTCTCGTCTTCCTGGCTCAGCCGCGGCGAGTGGCCGGGACTGATGACACAGGGCTCTCACTCAGTCCCCATCACGCCCTGTCCTGAGTGGGCACCAGGGGCCTTCCGTCCCCCTGCCTGGCAAACAAATCAAGTGATGTTTGCACTTGACTATACAGCATCTAGCAAATACACTTTTAAGTGTATAATCCCTGGGTTTTTTTTTTTTTTTTGAGACAGTCTCACTTCGTTGCCCAGGCCAGAGTGAGTGCCGTGGCGTCAGCCTAGCTCATAGCAACCTCAATCTCCTGGGCTCAAGCGATCCTCCTGCCTCAGCCTCCCGAGTAGCTGGGACTACAGGCATGTGCCACCATGCCCGGCTAATTTTTTCTATATATATTAGTTGGCCAATTAATTTCTTTCTATTTATAGTAGAGACTGGGTCTCACTCTTGCTCAGGCTGGTTTCGAACTCCTGACCTTGAGCAATCTGCCCGCCTCGGCCTCCCAGAGTGCTAGGATTACAGATGTGAGCCACTACGCCCAGCCTAATCCCTGTTTTGATGCCCCTGGAAATAAAAAAAGAAAATCTGTTGCATTAGAAAAGCTTCCTGACAAAGTGCCGTGAGGGCAACACAGGAGGGTCAGCGTCGAGGCACAATGAAGGAGGAAGGGCGGGTGTTGGGCTGGCGATTTCAGAACTAGAAGCACAATCTCCAGGAGAAGCTTTAAATTTTTTTCTCTCAGTAAACACAGTTAAATGTCTAAGAAAAGCAGGTGGGAAAGCTGTGGGCGTATCTCTTTGGACTTTCTGAAGATACAGCTTGCTCTGCAGGGAATGAAGGAAAGAAACCTGCCCGTGAGCAGGGTGCTGGTTAGGTGACTGCTAGTCCTACACTGTACTCTGTTGAGTCCATATTAAAGAGTAGAGCTGCACATTTTAGACAAAGTATTTAAAAACACTTAGATAAGTATATTTCTGGAGCCGTGCAGCTAGCAAAGCACTCGCATTGTGCTAATCCACTTAGTAACCCTGGCTCCTGTTGGCAAATGGGTGCTGGCAGTTGAAGAGACGCTGCCACAGGCATAGACACTGGGGATTTGTCCTGGCTGAGTGACATCCCCTTTTTGGCCCTGTGTCTTTGTTCCACTGCTGGCTGAAGCCTCAGGACTGACAGCCTGGTTTAACATCCATTTCTAGCTCGGCCCTAGAGGACACGGCACACACATCTGCTGCTGGCCCTCCGCTGTGACTTTCTCCTGTCCTCCACAGACCTATCCTGGGCCCCAAGGGACTGAATGATGGGGACAACCTGGAACGTTGTCCTATAAAGATACACTCTGTCAAAAGAGTTAATCTCTTGGGGTTAATATCTCTGTTAAGGGAAGAATAATTAGAAAATTAATAATGCCTATTATTGTTTCCTAAAACAAGGGCATTCATCTTTATAAACTTTAGGAAATGAAATTGTACTTACAGTGCTGTGAGTTACATTTTAGTTTCCAGGATTTTGCATGTCAAGCCAGGGAGCTGGGTTCTACTTTTAAAGTTAATAGTTCTAATGATAAGTCCTTTTAGTTGAAAATTTAGCTTGGGCAAGAGAGGTACACACACATACACCTGAACTTCACTAGGTAATCATGGACATAAACCTTTAGCAAAGAGAACATAGCATTAAATTCTTATAGTCTTTTGATGGAGTCTTGAAGAAGTGGGAAAATCTGGAATCCAGTCTCTTCCCACTAGGAGGGTTCCCTGTGGGCATATTACTGCAGTCTCATTTATAAGAAAGAAAATCCCATGGGAACTAAATCTGTTTCACAAAGTCCTAATAACCAATCTGCTCACCAGAAATGAATATGATAATGAGACTTGTGGTCTGTGAAGGGCACCTTCAGTCAGTCACCATTATGTCACTAAGCCACCTTATGTCTTATCTGAGTTCACAAAACACTGGCATGTGAGTGACCTTGTTTGATTCTCCTGACAGTCTCAGAGATAGATAAGGCAGGTCATCATTTTCCCTCATTTTGCAAATAAGTAAACTGTGGTCCAAAGAGGTTGAGACTTGCTTGAGTTCTCATAACCAGAAAGTGTCATATCTTGGGCTGGAAACCAGCTCTTTGAAATCTGTCTGTCCTTTTGCTGCTGTGCCATTCTGACTTGAAGTGTGTGCTGTCACGAGGCAAGGGTCCCGCCAAGAGCTTTATAAAGCTGGTAAATCATCACACCAAGTGCCTTAGAACTGCTCAGGATGACTGTCCCTTTACCTGCTGATCATGGTCTTTAGGCTCTTCAGAGAGGAAGTCCAGCCCTCTAACCCTGGGCATGCTCTGCCCTGCAGAGATGGGTGTTCATTTGTTCTGATGTGAAGCCTGCTGCCAGGTATGGCTCCTGGCAAACCATGAGCTGCCCCGGCCAGGAGAGGCAAGAATCATTTACCATGAAGCTTGGCTGTGGCCTTGTACTCCATGGACCTTGTGTCTGCAGCTAATGATTGTAGAACAAAAACAAAATTAAGCCACTACAGACAAAAGGGGGAAATGGATTTACAAATAATGAGTACATGATAATGATGATGATGATACATTTTGTTACATCTTTCACTCCAGAGCAGAGATGATAGGACATAGCATTATATTATGTTCTGATGCCCATAGCACCTTAAAAACAATTATGTAAATGGCTGGAAAGAGCCCTGAGCTGGCAATCAGCAGTATTCTGGTTCTCCTTGCCAAGGGCCTTCAGCTATAACCATATACCTTTGTCCCTTACACACTTCTCTACTTTGCCTTGCTTTCCTCATCTATAAAATGGGGATGATTTTGCCTAAACCTCATACTCTGTTACAGGATGAACCAGATTGCAAATGTGAAGTGCCTGAATGAAGTATTGCATAGACAAGATGATAAAAAACGTCTCTGGTTACTTGAGCATCTCAGAAGGAATATCTGGAAAATATAACTAGCTGATATTTCATAGTATTTTACGAAATATTTTCAGATGGATTCTTCCTTTGTCTGTCACAAACTATGATACCTGCCTGCCTTTTGCACGCCGGGAAATGGAAGTTCTTGCTCATGTCACATCACTGGTAAGGCAGAGCTGCACACAGCTCCTGACTCTGGAATGTCTACCCTTCTCCCTGCATGATGCTCCTCCCCTTGCATAAGGCCCAGATGAAGTCTCAGGCTTTACTCCAATTAAAGTATTCTATGTGTTGGTCAGCTGCTTGGGTGTTTTGTTTCTGCATTCTCTGTTGCTCTGTAGTATTGGGAAGGTTCATCTTTCACCTTTTATTTTGTAGGGAGGGACAGCTCCCTGACTAGGGCTTGAGCCCTTGCACTGGGCAGAAACACAAGACCCAAGATGCTTCTTAGCATCTTAGTATGGTGTCATTAGCAATGCCAAAGCAGAAGGCCTTTAATGCTCTCTTGTGGCCTGTGTTATATAAAGGTAACTGCCATTCTGCCATGTCCTTAGGTGAGAGGTGATGAGCAAATGGGGTGTTGGTTCATGGCACCCAAACCTTTTGGTTTGCCCTTCTCTTTCATTGTAATACTTTTATTAAGAGAAAAATTGGAAACAATCTAAATGTCCATCAAGAGGGATGGGTTAATATCTCATAGGATTGTTGAGGGGCTTAAAGATTAATACATATAAGGTGCTTGGGATGATGCCTAGCACTTAATAAAAGCTCAATAAATGTTAGCTATTATTATGTTTAGAGTCATTAACAAAGAGGGATGGCTGCTTACTTATATTGGAGCTCTGCCAGAACTCTGTCAATAGAATAAACTCAGGGCTTCGCTTCTAGGTCTGCCCTCATGTGAGCCTGAGTGGGAGCTAATGACAGAGCCCAGGCTCCATGGTTCTGCCTGTCCTTTCCCTCCACTATGACAGGTGGCAGCTGCTTTCATCTCAGTAAGGTAGAAGATGCTGTGGAGGTCAGGTAGATGGCACTTCCCAAAGGCTTGTAGCAGATTGAGGAAAAACTGAGTATGACATAACAAAGAATAAACCTGCTCTTTGTCCTGGCTCCTGATACAGAGCTTCAAAGACCATCAGAATTTCCTGAGTGACAGGAGTGTCTTTGTTGTACTAATGAGGTGACTCAGGCTGACCCCTGGACAGCGTCAGGATGGAGACTGGCCACCAGAAGGACCACACATGTGATTAGAGGGCTGGAACTTTGGAACAGCTTGACCTCTAAGAAAGAAAGGGTCGCTGAGGACTGAGTTCAATCATGTGGCCACTGATTTAATCGATTGCACCTGTGCAATGAAACACCAACAGCAAGCCTGGACGCCAAAGCTCCTGGAGCTTCCTGGCTGGTGAATACACTGATGTGCTCTGATCAGACCCCACCCTGCATGTGCCCTTTGCAATAAAATTGTGATATAAGTACAGTACCTTGCTGAGTTTTGAGTCCTTTTGGCAAATTATCAAACACGAGGGGATCACGGGAACTCCTGAATTTGTAGCTAGTGTGTCAGGGTGGGGGTGACCTGGGACCCTCAGAAGCTGTGTCTGCTTTCTGAAGTGAGGGTCGCCTTGTGGGGACTGAGACTTAAGCCTGTGGTGTCTCAGGACACCGGGGGTTGGTATCAGAATTGAATTCTATTGTGGTGTACCCAGTTGGAGTTGGAACAGGGTACAGGGTCAACTGGCTTAACCAGTTATTAGCAAAATCTCACACTCTCTCTTCCATCACCTCGAGAGCCTCCTTTCATTACAGGTGCGGCTGGGACAGAGTGACCACACCAGACGCTGGAAATATGTGGCTGATCCTAGGTGCCCTCTGCCCCTCGCTTGTTCTCGCCCTGTGCCCTCGATGCCACGGAAAGCCAGCCGTCAAGAGGAGGAAAGCCACGTCAGCGCCGCTCTTTCATACATGCCAGGACGTGTTCTCCTCGTGGATCCAGTGCACTTGACACACAATTTGCGGTAATAGGTTTTCCTTCTTTTCTTTTTTTTTTCCCACTGAATTTCCCCAACTAGGGACCACTAGGGACATATCCTTGCTGAGTAACAATTTCATTTACAAGACCTTCAATCTAATAGATGGAAGCTCACACAAGAGTTGCTGCTCACCGTTTAAATGCAACTCATTAATTGTAAGACATGATACTGTTCATCACTACTTAGATTTTTAAGGCATGCAAATAGCACTTTATTCTAAATCTGGGAAAAGCAACCAAAAAAGTGGCAAGAATTGTCTTAACTGGTTTTACGTAATTGTTAGAGGAAGACACACAAGCACTCTGACCATGGATCAAACAGCATCCCATAGGAATCAGAGATCTTGCTTTCCTGTGTCCTGACGCAGAGATATTTTTTCTTTTTTAAACTTGATTATCCATCTGCAAGCCATACACCATTTCCCACAACCAGTAGCATATTTCAAGCATTTCCTCCTGTCAAAATAAATTGGTGGGGACTTAGAAAATGCAGACCCATTTGGCTATCAGCATGACAAGACAAAATAAGAAAATATAAATGTATTAGTAAATATATCCAATGCATAAGCACTTCAAGGCCAAATAGATACAGATTTTCAAGATTCTGCATAGTTTCTAATTATATCTGTTCATGTGACCCTCCTCAGGGCATCAGGTAGGGACAAGGGCAAACCATACTTATGAAGATCACACAGAATTTAAAAATCTTATAAGTGAAAAGATCTTCTTAGCTATGAATCCCCTCTATATAATGCCCCTGACATGCAGTTGTCCAGATTCTGTTGGAAGAGTCAAAATATAGCTAAGTGTCTCATGGCCTTCTGGAGTGGCCCACTCTCAGCTAGGTAGACAGCTGTCATTGTCACATGTGTCCTTGTCATTAGTTGTCCTGTTGCTGTAGCCCTCTCCCTGCTCCCTCCTTCAGGGTATGTGCAGCACTTTGGAGGCCTTCCCTGTTTTTATTCCATTTAGGGTTTTGACCCAGTCATTACTCACCTTGTCTTGGCCTAAGCCTCTGGCTGGAAGAGAAGGATCCTCTGTTGAGGGTGGGCCACAAGCAGGGATTTGACAGTGGAGGCACAGAAAGGGGCTTATGGAGCGAGGTACAAACAATCAGGGAATCACTACTTACACTAAAGCAAGTGCTTATAAGAACCCTTGGGCAGTGCTCACTTCGGCAGCACATATACCAAAATAGAGTCCTTGGGTAAGTGTTCCCAACATGAAGCCACAATGCATTCAAATCAGAAAAACTCAAATGAACTTTTATAGCTTTTACGAAGCATTTTAATTCCTGCCACATGTATGCTCCTGCATCTTTAAAAGAGGAAGTGTAATTACTGAATGGGCACTCATTATAGAATGCATCAATAATGCATTGGATTTTGCAATATTTTCCCTTGTGCTATCTTGTGGTGATGTATTGTGAATTTAAGCAGATTCAGTAATGCCACTGTGATTTATGAGAGCACGATGTGCTTAGAAAGGCCTGGAAGTAAACTCTTCACACAGCGGTGGAGGAAGGAGGTCACCAGGATGGTGGCCAGTGGGCGGGAACTCTGCTATTCTGTTAAGGCTTTAGAAAACCAGACTGCATCTCTGGATCCTTAACTAGCTATCTATTTTCTCTGCCTTCATGCATCCCCAGAGAATTGTTGCAAGTATTCATATTTCTATTTGTAGTGAGGTGCAATGGAACAAAAAGCTGCATCGTGTCAATATTTATGGGAAAAGTAGAAATTGGAGTAGAATTTTGGTTGTAATGTATTTCATGGAAACAATGGGTCCAATATATTTTGATCATTGAAATAATTGTTGTTACTTATTGACTGGAATTGAATGATATAGACTAAAAGCCATTTAATTTAAGCATTTATCAGGTGCCTCCCATGTATAAAGCACATAGCAAGTGCTGCAGGTGAACCCATCAGAAATGGGTTTAACAAAAAGCACATGAAATGAGTGCCATCAATAAGAGATATTAACAGTACCATCTGAGTCAAAGGAAGAAGAGATCATATTTAGTTGTTTCAGTTGGATTCCCATGACAAAAGAGACCGAGACACAATCGTACGCACTCACACTTCACTGGGGCTGCAATCCCAGGGATGCAGCAGTGAGGTGAGAACGGAAGCGAGGCAGGAACGGAGAGCAGGGCCAGCAGCGCATCACCAGGCCGCCTGCAGCGTTGCAGACCAGACGGGTGCTCTGCCTCCTGCCACGTCCAGAGAGGCTGCACGCAACAGTCGTCTCTCCGTCACAGAGAAGGAAGAGGAGCAATGCCTTTGCTGGCTCTTACCTTGCTCTGTCTCTTATTAGTCAAAGTCTGCTCTGTGCACATGACTTCTGTACCACTTTGGGGTGTTTCTCAGCCTCCAGGAGGGTGCGAGGGAGGGCAGGGCCTCAGGGCCCAGTGTGTCCGGCACACAGGCACGGCCAGTTGGGGCCTTTCTCCTTGGTCTGTGGTGGCAGCAGTCATGGCTTGGGTTTTATGATTATTGAAACAACATGACTTGTCACTAGGGTCACTCTGGCCTTGAATTAAGGCGAGTCTGTGAGGCTGGGGGTGAGGAGATAATCAGGGCTGAGCAAATCTGACTATGGCGGTCCACATCTGTACCATGAAGATTAAGAAAAGGTTTAGAGAGAAGGTAGCACAAGAGATGGCACTTAAAAATGATGGGTAAGATTTTGACATGCAGAGACAGAAAGAGAGGATGCTGGTAGTAACGTCTGAATCAAGAAAAGGCATGAAGGTTGGAAAGCAGGGCTGGTTGAGGGCATAGTGATCCGTCTACTTTGCGGCAACTCCAAGATACACGTAGAGGAGAATGGGAGATGAGGCTGGGAAGGTAGATTGAAGTTTGATTAGGGAAGGCCTTGTGAGCAGATGTATCAGCCAGCTATTGCTGCCTAACAAACACACACAACAATCTTAGTGGCATGTACGAATAGTCCTTTATTTCTCATATATCTTCTGGTTAGTTGAAATGGCTCTCTTCAAGCTTTGGTCTATGGATTGGCTGGGAAGCTTTGTTCTAAACACGTTCATTCCAGGCCCCAGTCTGAAGGGGCAGGAGCTCTCCGGGGAAGCTCTTCTCGTGGCAATGGCAGAAACCTGAGAGGGCTTGTCCAACTCCTTCAATCTGTTGCTTATGTCATATGTACTAACATACCATCAACCCAAGGAAGTCCTGTGACCAAGGCCAAAGTTGGTGGAGCCAGGAAATATACTCGGTCCTGTGAGATCATGGCAAAAATGTGGATTCATGCTTTCCTCCAGGGCAGTAAAGAATTGTGATCTGTAATTCCATATAATAGAGTCAGGGTGAGCCGCTTGTGGACTCAGGACAAGAGCATTATATATTATTATATATTGCTATAATTATATATAATTATGTATTATTCATTATATTTGTGCTTCTAGTACCAAGTGCAGTGCCTGAAACATAGCAGTTATTCAATGTTTTCTGAATGCATGAAGTAATGCTAGCCACCCTGCATGCAGCACTGTGATAAACATTGTTCAGGGCCTGTCTCTTTGATTATTTTCCCTAGGATAGGCTTCAAGATATATGAAACTCATATCCAGTTAGATTAAAGATACTTACTTCAAGGTAATCTTTCCACAACTTTGCTTTTCCATGTCCTTTCCTCACTCAAGAAATGATTATATCTTCTTGGTGGCCTTGTCAAAGATTAGTGGACTGTCTACACTTGGTTTTGTCTTTGTGCTCTGTATTTCAGTCCATTGGTCCACATGTCTGTTTTTATGCCCATACCATAGTGTCTTCATTACTATTGCTTTGTAATATAATTGGAAATCAGAAAGTTTGATGCCTCCAACTTTGTTTTTCTTTTCCAAGACTCTTTTGGCTACTCAGAGAAGGATGAATTGGGACTGAAACCGGTCTTAGCAGATAGCAGTTTGGAGAGGCGCTATCTCTGGGGGTGGTGGTGGCTGGAGTGGATGACCTGGCCAAGCACCATCACAGGTAAGAGATTTAGAGTTGGAGGGGACCTTGAGGGAGATAAGTTCTCCAATCCAATCTCCTCATTACACAGATGAGAAAACTTCAGCTCAGAAAGGTTGAAGTGACTTTCTTCAGGTCACATTGCCAGTTTGTGGCCAGCCAGGGCATTGGACATAAATATGACACTAAGAGACAGGATTTGTGAATCCGTCTGTTACTATCTTACCTTTTTTATTTAGCAGAATACATTGTGTCTACATTAGTAAAGTTATATTAATATGGACTATTAAATGGAGTGTGGAAATAACCTCGTTAGGGAGAAGTGGGCATTATAATGGTACTTATTAAAGTGAGTCTTCTCATCTGTAAAATGAGAGTTGCTGTAGATGAACTTTAAATTCCTTCCTCTTTGAAAATCTCTGAGTTGATGAGATCCTGCTTGTGTGATTGAAAATACAGGTGCTGAATTTAGACACCTCCTAGGCAGCCCTGTTTGTGAAAAAGGAGTACTTGCGTTGGAGTCTGTAGACTGAGTCCTAATTCTGCTATTTATTTATCTTGTCACCATGGGTGATCCACCTCTCCTAACTCAGTTTTCTCATCTATAAATTGGGAGTGATGATGTTTGCCTCATCTACTTCATGGGTTCTTCGTCTGCACCATGAAACACAGCAAATGATTGGAGTGATTATTTTTTCAATTCTCTTAGGAATGGTGCAAAGACAGTACCATGCACAGAAGAGAGTTCACTTATTATGTACGAGGTATATGTGTGTGCACACATGAAGGGTCTCCCTTCGGGCACTTGGCTAACTCTCTTCTGGAACCCACAGAAGAAGGACCGCTGTACAACTGCACAGCAAACTGTAGAATGTGATAAAAATGTAGGTAATTATCTCCTTTTCATCTCACTGCTGTCTTTGTTAATTCTTTATACAATCCCCCTGCCTGAAGAGTTTTGGTGAGAGTCTAATGGTCCCTTGTTCTAAGGATGAGGGGTAGGACACTGGGCCCGTGGGAGCAGCGAGGAGTGGGCTGGGGGGTGCGCTCTTTGCTGTTTATCATTCCGACCCAAACTGCTCACAGTGTCTCACAGAGCCTTCATTCTTCTCAAATTCCTTCCTTTCCATGAAGAACTTAGGCAGTAAAAAGCTGCCTGGATTTGGGGTTGGCTAGAAAAGCAAGTAAGGCTCACAGGAAAGGGGAAGTCTCTGGAGCATAGACTTCCTCATGAAGCCCTCAGAGTGAGCACTCTGACAGTTCTTGTGCGGGCATGAGTCTAGAGCTGGTGACTTAAAGGGTAATTATTAGGGCTGAGTAGCACTACACGGTAACCAAAATGTGTGTACCCTGTAATGTGCTGAAATTTAAAAAAAGATAATTATTGTTACTAATTATTGATGCTTTCAATGTGTCAGACTCTGGGCACTTCACATATATCACCTAATTTAACATTCGGAATGAGTTGGAGATGTAGACATTAAAATGGTCACTCTATAAATAAAGGGAAACTGAAACCAGGCTGGTTACTTACTCAGGCAAAGTACGGGCTCACTGCTGGCTAGCAACTAGGGCCGCGGCATGCCGACACTCTGGGGCATCATTCACGCTGTATTCTCTGGAGGTGACAACGTGAGCCGCGCTCTCTGGAGCGGTGTCATGTCCTGAAGAGTGGCAGAACTGAGATGTGCATCTGGCTCTGTCCGGCCCTGAGTTCCCTTCTGAGCCCCTGCGGCCCCTGCACCGTGAAGGGCTGGCTCCCAGTGCTGGGGGAGGGTGGGTGGCGCTGACCCCCGCAGCTCAGCCCTGCGTGGGCCGGGTGCAGGGCCTGCTCGAGCTGGCTCTCCCGTGGACAGAGCCAGTTCAGGCCTCAGCAGGGGGCTCTGCCAGGCAGACTGACGGTGAGAGCAGGAGGGGTTGTTGGCGTGTGTGTCACTGTGGCTCCGTCTGCGAGGGCTGTGGGTTTTAAGGGGAGAAACCAGAAAAGCCTTAGGACATGGTGCCAGGAGGACTGTGAGCTCCTCAGTGAGCTGTCTCCTTCTCCGCATGTCTCTGGCTACGACTGTGTGTGTGTGTCGTGTGAGCAACACGGAGAGATGCCCAGTGTCTCTCTGTGGTCACCTCTCTCTGGCTGGCCAGGCGGGACGTTCTCTGTGAGGGGAAGACCCGTGAAGGCCACAGCCTGCTTTTCTGAGTAACCAGGCCAAACTGAGAATGGAGAAGGGGCTTGGAAGTCAGAGGAGTCAGCTGGGGAAATACGCTGAGCCTGCATGGATTCTAGTCCTCTCAGCAAACAAGAGAGGACGATGCTGTCACTCATCTCACTGGGCAGAGTTGGAGCGCGGCTCTCACAGGGTCAGCCTGTGACAAAGCCATGCATAAGCTCAGTGCTTTTTACTAGCATTGTTACTTGAAAGAATTTTTCTAGCCAGAGGTCCCATTCTTGTCATATCTTCACTGTTAGTAGCATATAGACTCCAGGCTTACATACCTCATCGAAAGTGCCTCCCCTCCTCAAAATTACCGTTTAATTATACACCGTTCTAATTATTGACTTCTCTTTAATGCAGTTAAAAAAGAGATTGAGATTTGCCATTTATTCTCCATGCTTGTTAAAGACCTCTCTCCTTTCAACACATCACATTTGGACTGACTGACTTGATTTTGGTGATTAGGGAAGCAAAGAGCCAGTGAGAAGCACGGCGGCTATCTCAGCACACTGGGCGAGTCGCCAATGCAGTGGTGTCATGTGCTGGTCACATGGCACCTGTGCTGTGTATGCAGGGCTGGCTCTTTGGAGGTGTTAGTTTTGATCCACGCATCTCCTGGTCAGAATTAAAGTTGTTTTGCAGGCGGATGGGGAGCATGAGCGGTCCCTGCCTCCCACATGGGAGAGGACGGAAGGGCCTCATGCTCCCCCTTGCCATCAGTTCCTGGCAAATGTCTGATTGCCTTCTGGGTGGGAGCCCTTTTCCTGCAGGTAGTTCATGGCTGGACATGTTCCTCTTCTGGGGTGATGTGGCTACTGGTTGAGGGGTGGAACTATGTGACCCAAATGTTCGTTGAATTGAATTATGTTCTTTTAGAGATACTATTACTAAATAAGAATTACATTCAGAGGCTGTAGTTGCTTCATTAGATGTTTATTGGAGGATCCTGTCATAGGATGTGGTTTCCAGGAGACAGAGGCAGAGATGGTGTTTGGCTTCCAGGGTGTTTGTTACAGAATGCTCTTAGCCTCAGTACCTGCGGAAGGGAGGAGAACGGGAGCATGTTTGGTTAGACGTCGTACTGCCACATAGATCTGCCTGTGGCCTTGGCTGGCCTTTTGGAAGGCTCTGGTGGCTATCTGTCACTCCAAAGCTCATCACAGTTTCTGTGGTCAGGAATCTGGACATGGCTTAGCTGGGTCCTCCGTCGCAGGGACTCCCGCAAGCTTCAGTCAAGGCGTCGGCTGGGTGCTACGGCCACGTCTGAGGCTTGGAAGGGGAGGACCTACTTCTGAGCTCACTCGTGTCCACTGGCAGGATTCCGCTCCTCACGAGCTGTGGGCCAGAGGCCCCCTGTTTCTGGCCATCTGGACCTCACCATGGGGCATCTCACAACAGAGTGAGCCCAGCAAAGGGGGGCAGCGTGCCAGCAAGAAGGAGAGAGAGCAAGATGGGAGCCATTGTGTTTTGTAAGTTAGTCATGGAAATGACAGCCGTCACTTTTGCCACATTCTGTTTATTAGGAACACATCACTAGCTCCAGCCCATGCCAAGGAGAGGGGATTTCATACAGGCATGAACACGAGGAGGTGGGGACCACCAGGGCTGCCCCGCGTGGGCTGAGATGGCCTTTTCACCCCACTGGACGTGGCCGCGTGCAGAGGGGCTTGGCCGTGGCGGTGGCTCCCCGCGGCTGGGCGCTCTGAGGGCTCACCCTGAGGCTTTCTGCTGACCGCACTTCCAGCAGCCGGGGCGATAGGCCCTTCGCAGAAGGGGGTGGAGAGGCACCAGGGAGTTCCACTTCCCGCCGTGCACACCACCCACGTAGAGCTTGGTTTACGAGCAGAGTCTGTTGATCCATGTGAGAGGAAGAAAGGGAGAGAAGGACCGTTTCTTTCTGGTATTAATATCCAGAAGAAACAGTTCCCCTTGATTGTATTCCTTTTTTAATTTTCCTTGTTTTGAGCCCCTGGGTTGGAACTTTCTCTGAATAACGAAGAGAAACGCTACCTGGGAACAAAGCCGTGTTGTAACTGAGTCACCCCATGTGTGCCAGGCTGAGGGTGGTGGCTCTGCCAGCCTCCTGCTCTCAGGGGCATCCTAGGGATTACATCTCTGTCGGGCAAGAGCAGGGCAGGAGCCTGAGTTCCCCTCATCTTCCCTTTCTTGTTATTCATCTCCCATCTCTTCTTTTCATTTTCCATCATAAACACACACCCTTTAGGCACTTTCGAGTCTCCACAGAAGCAGAGCCCAAGACGGGGACTCTCCTGCAAGCTGGGCAGTGTGCCTGAGAGAATGGACAGGGCAGGGACAGCCTGTGGAGCAGTGAGCCCTCCGCCGGCCCCTGGCTGCGTCTGGCCCGCCGGGAGCTCTGGAGCGCAAAGTGCGCCACAGAGCCGAAGCCACCGCAGGCCAGCCGCGCAGGCCAGCCTTCGCGCTCGGGCCGCCGCTCACTGTCCGAGGTCTGCAGCGTGAGGGGCTTTGGGACGGTCGTCTTTCGCTTGGTGTTCTCCCGAGGATGAGGCGGTGGGTTTTCTCAGCCAACACTCTCAGCTCAGATGGGGGGTGGACGCCCCGCCGGAGGGAGCTTGCGAGGAGCGCGGGGCGAGGCTCCAGTAGCGTCCTCTGCAGTCCAGTCGTTCCCACGTCCAGCCATCTTCCTTCCTCCCACTTGTGCTCCCAGGGCCAGTTTTCTTTTACAGAGTAATGGGAAGAACTGGGAATCACGTAAGTGCAGACTCCAATTATCATCCATTGGAGATTGGCTGCCTTGGATAAATTATTTAACATTTTAAGCCTCAGTTTTCC